ACTTAAGTTACACTCACAAAGCTATAAAAATTAACATACACAATATTTAATATCAAAAAAATTGGTATACAGCACGTTGCATTGTTAAAGTTTTTAATAAGAGATAACTTTCAACACTCTTCAGCAATCGCCTTCAGAAGCTCATGATAATAATACGGTTATTGGATTCGTTACCCCCTTCTAATTTAGTAATGTTACATGTATATACGATTTGTTTCCTTACCCTCTGTTCAACTTGGTGATGCGTACTCGTTTGTTGTTGTTGTTTTTTTTTGTTTTTTTACTCTGAATATATGGATTAGAAATTGCAGGGTGTGTTGGTGTTCTAAGAATATCAATTTGTTACGCCTCCAGTCGTTAGTTAATTTTCCGTAAATTCGTTCCGACGAAACTTTAGCGACACAAGTCCTTTCTTAAATAAAACTGGTTTATTCTTTCCGAATACAACTTTATGATACACTTAATTTCAACAGTCGCTCTATATGAACGCTATAACTCACGTCTCACGAGCTCGACAATACTCCGTTTAATTACACACTCTCTGACTGCAGTTCAATTACTTATTACCTACACATTGTCCCGTCACGTTGTGACCATCTTATATATACCAGACTACCCCCAATCTAGTAATCTCCCGACAATTCACGAAGGTTCGAGAAAGAAGTGGCGTGATACTAGTCACGTGACCTCGCTGACGCAACAATAGCAATACTGATGTTTTATGTGCATGAATGATTTTACTTTAAAATTAATGTTTATATTTTTGAATTATTTTATATTTAAGAAATGATACTTTAATGTCATACTTAAGTTGTTCACGGATAATTTGAATAAATTAGAAAATATTATTAAGATATATATTCATAGAAATTTTTGTATATTTCGAAAGAAAAATCATCGAAATTCATATTACTAACAGATGAATCCGTGCCATGCGCAGTGAGAGGTTTATGAAAGTTAACAAATCATTTATATGATTCATTTACTGATTTATAGCAATTATATTAAGGTTCTACCAGTTATGAATATAAATAGTGTTTCTGTTTTTGTCCTAAATATGCCAGTAATAATTTAAAGTATATGGACTGTATGTTTACCTCACGTAGTAAAAAAGGAAACTCGAGAAATCCCACCAGTACTTCTAGTGGCCACTCCCACTACTCACCTATATTTAGCCATTACTGGAGCTATGGAATATATGCATTTTAATAGAAAAATAACTTCTTGACACATCCTGAATTGTTCCTGGTTTATTAAACCATATTTAACACGTCCAAATAAAAAATCTAGAAGGACAAACAAATAAACTTCTGTTAAAATATAGTTATTGTTTTGTTTTTTTTTGGCGTTGAATGTTAAACATTACTGTCAAGGCTGATTCAAGGGCATTTGATCAAGCAACGTCGTGACTTTCGGATTATCCAATTTGGACGGGAGGATTTTTATCTTCTAATACCAAACGTAAAGCCAAGCGAGTTTGAACTTAATTTAACCACAACGTGAACGATTCAACTATGGAAGTACCAAACCTGAAAATCCCTATTCTTGCATCAAGATAAGCTAGAAGAACTGTAATATTGTGATTTCTAACTATTGTGTGAGTTGAGAAAATCTGTTCTACCTCTTCTCCATACGGGTAAAAGGTGAACATTAACTGAAAAAGCTTATTAAATCCATTTATATTATCTATCTAATTGTTTGAGTATCGCAAACAACGTGCACGTTGTGAAATTTTATCCCACCTATTTATACCCACTTCCTTCAAACTCTCCTGTCGTGAACACAGATGTTTCCTCCAAAGGTTGTTGTAGATGTTGTTCTCTCACTGGTTCTTCGAAACATCCACTTTCAAAGATTATAAAGGCTTACAAACTATCAAAATGTTCTCATTATGAGCACCGAATTCTGGCCAGTTATCATTTGTTCAAAAACAAGAAAAAAGTTAGTTTGACTGGAATACCTGAATATATATATATATTTATGTTAAAAAACAAAAAACATCAGCTATTTAATTATGTGATATATGTTGGTGTAAGATGCACATAATTTATGCAATCTTGTTCCTCGAACCAATTCATGGGGGAATCAATATTACAAATAGCGAAAGGTTTTTCCCTCGACAGTTTCTACCACAAAATATTTTTTATACCTTAGAAATCTGTTGTTCGGGTTATCCTTTAATGACCGAAATTATTGTTGGCAGCAAGGAATCAGCCTGTGATTTAATGTAGTCTAGTCATCGTAAGTTTCAGTGGTTCCCAAGCTGTGTACCTCTGGAGGTAGCGAGAACCTTTGTAAAACACTAAAAAAGGATAGAAACTGTACACTTTAACATTTGAGAGCACTCTTGGTGAGCTACCAAATTTTTCCACTAGCCAACACTCAATGTTGGCATATTGTTGACTCACCCTTAAATTATTTCTTCTGACTTACTTTTTTTATTAATATAAACCACGTTTAAGTTTTATAAATAAATTATATGCGTCAGGGATACGTCAATAACACAAGGTCTGGGGGTATACTGTAAATCACTGGTCTTACTAGCTTATATATATAATGTTCTAATAATTATGAATATTTTTTAATTCTAATTATTAGTCTCTCGGAATACATTATGGTAACTAATTTACACTAAATGCTAAATACCTGATTTAGTTTCACTAACACATTGTCTTTATTAACCAACATTTTACTTCAGGTTAATAGCTTACTAATATTCAGAAGTTAATAATGCAAAATTAATGAAGAAAATCGAATAACTTTTTATTATTTGAGATAAAATTCAAAATAAAATATCTTCTGAAGGCTTGTGAGTTTTATTGAAGTTAATTATTATTGTTATTACTTTATTTATCATCATTACTCATGAATGTGTTTTATTGCAGATTTCAGAACTGACTCTGTTTTTGAATAAAGTGAAAACTCTTGAAGGCTTTTGGGCTTTTTGAAAAAAACATAAAAAACTACCATAACAAACCAAGAGATCTTGAGGAACTAAAGCTTTGTATCCGTAATGCTGTCTTATTCACCCCTACAGATGTGTTGGAAAATGTGCCCTCATAATTAGATTGATTATAGCTACTGATGGAAGACATGTAGAAGCTTATCACTAAAATAAACTAAAACTTAAAAGCCTTCAGAATATATTTTGTTTTGAATTTTGTTATCTCAAATAATACAGACGTTATTGGTATATGCATTTTGGGACACCCTACACACACACACACATAAATATTCAATGAAGAAAACAAGCATTTTGAAGTTTTTTTAGGTTATCTTCATGTTTTACTAATTAGTACTAAACATTTCAGTCAAATGTCACTTCCACCATATTAGTCTATTAGCAAGTGCTTCTCAAAATCTGATACAAGAAAACGCAGAATGCTTATAATCCTCCACCCGGAGAAAAACATTTAAACACCTTTTAATCCTACATCACAATAATACCCAAATCCATATATTCATAAAAAAAACTGTTGAAGATTAGATATTTTTAGTCCCCAAAATAAATGACACACCACACAATGCCGATGGAATGTGATTTATAACCATATCTCATATACTTCACTCTACCTAAGAAACGGTAGGTTTGACAACACCATCAGCACTAAATGTACATCATTCTATTTTATACACTGTACATAACATATTTCGAATAACATTTATGAAGCTCAGCTTTCTTGAACAAAAATATACAAAGATTACAAGCCCATACCTACTCCAGATGTTGAATCAAGATTATTTTAAGATACTGATAAATGTAATGTTCCGTGTCTCTGTATCACTATGGCAATCCCTTTATATCCTTCTTTTGTGATGCCCGTGATGTTTTTTATCATAACAACAAAAGTAGCCTTACATAGAGGGTTAGACATCTGTGAACCTGATAAACCATAACGAAATCTATTTGACTTGATATATTGTGTAGAACTGCGTGTTTTAATAAAAGTTCAAACATTTATAGTTATTATTTTCGAAGTAAAGCAGGAGACATTTTTGTCTTTCACGATTCTTAAAGAAAGTGAAAGGAGAATTTTTTTTGTAAACTATAAAAATTGTAGAATTGAAGTTAGTTAATAGGGTAGACTTAGCTCTTGCTAAGAGTTTTCTCCAATGAATATTACAAATTTCAAACAAATGACAATTCGAAGATCTACGTTAAAGATATTCAGGACAAGCAAAGAGCACGTGCCTGTTATTTCTTTACTTTTCAACCATCGGTCATTTCTAATCACCCAGAAACAAATATTACAAGGTCTCTTCTATTAGATATATGCACTCAGCACCACAAGTTATGTTCCTAAAATGAACAACTTTGAACTCGAACACACTTTCACTAAGACTGCACTACGAACTGGAATTTAAGAATAAAGTACCACCTGAAAGAGACGTTGTATTCTTTTATAATTTATATCATTATTTATTGTATATGTTAATAAACTTTGCGAAGCAAACTTCTATTATGAAACTTGCTGAATCTTGAAAGGCAAGAAATTGATTGATGTCTGCGGAACATATGGCAACATGAAATGTAATGGCCATGTATTTTGTCATGGAATTCACAGACGGGTCCAATTTGAAGTTCATTCAGATGTTGTTTTTTTAAAGTTTTCAGGAGAAATAAATTCAGTTTTGAATGCATTTTTAAGCAGGTCTGAACTTAATCACGCGCCTCGGTAATTATATTTCTCTTTCTAAGTTGAAACTGAAGCAGCTTTTGTTACGACACAAGCTCCATTTCTAAAAAGTCTACAACTTGTTTGTGTGTTTGTAATTAAACACAAAGCTACACAATGGGTTATCTGTGCTCTGCCCACCACGGGTATCGAAACCCGGTTTCTAGCGTTGTAAGTCCGCATACATACCGCTGTGCCACTGGGGGGGGGGCGGTAAGTCTACAACTATATATTTCTAGACACTACACAATCACAAGGATCACATAGTTTATTTTAACGTTTATGTTTGCCTGAACATCATTTAATACTTTGATTTAGAAGGGAACAGATTTGTATTATTTATTGTTATTATTATTGAACACAGTTTTAAAAACTGTGTGACGGATCAACTTACAATCGTAAATATTAGCTCCATGAAATTTACTGAAAAATACAAAAGCTCTAAAAACTGTAGATTATTACAAGATAATTGGAATTTATACATCATTAGTAACTGCACAAACAATTACACCGAAATAAGCAAAAAATAAAAAAAAACTACAACATTAGAAACATAAACTACAAACACAAATTGTGCTCAGAAAACAGTACACAACATAATATGATTATAATAAATAAACACTAAAAAGGACCAAACGTTAGCAAAATGTGTCAATACAAGTATTTTTACTTCACCTAATATTAGTCTGCTTCGTTATTCTTCAGAGAAACCTTCAGCTCAACACAAACAGAGTAACGCACTGAAGCACATTAAGACGATGTTGAACGACTTGAAACTTTTTGTATGTATACATTAACTGTGTGTGTTTAGTATATATATCACAGTGTGATACCCAAAATCATTTGCAGAGCAAGAAAGATTTAGCTAAATTTTGAGAAAAAAGGTTTTATATGCTTTAGAAATAATTGTTTAATTATTTAGGTGTTGAATGAGAATATTTTGTTGTTTTAAAAGAGAAATTATTTTTTTAAGATATGCGTTTGTAATTATAATCTTCCGTGAAAGGTCTAAGGTAGGTGACGCACTGAATGACAGTGAGCTTCGAAAGTCATGAGAATGTTAAAAATTTTTTTGTAAGATAATGTAAAAGTTCAAGCTCACTGCGGTATGCAACCTGATTTTAATATAGTTACGTGCTCGTTTGTCCATACATAAGCTTGTACCTTAAGCATTGTAATGTATGCCGTTTTTTAAGGGTTTTTCTCTCAGTAACAATACTGATATAATTGCATTGGTCATTTTAAATCATGAATTATACTACACAAAAATCCCACTTTACCTTTGCCACAGTTTAACAAAATTTATCAGTTTATTTGAGACAAGCTGACCTGGTTGCCACGAAATTAATTTCAATTTCAAATACTTTAGTTAAGTCTGCAAAATGATTTCTTAAATTCACTCAAAAAAAACAACAACAACAAGACAAGCATAAATCTCAATACAGTTTCCAAACATTCATAGTACCCTGTGTTTACTGAGTGTGCTGGACGTTTGTTCTCTTTTCTGCCTGTTGATAGGATGCACACAACACCTAGGGATTTGGACTTTTATTGAGAACGTTCCGAATTATCACTTTTACCTGTCTCACCTCTCTTTCTTTTACATAAAGTAACACCTTAGTTTGAATATAGTCTAACTGCATTTTTCCGACAGCTCTATTATAAACGTATAGAGTGTGTTTGTTTCAGCGTCAAGCTAAACAATGGGTTATCTGCACTCTGCTCATCACGGGGAATCGAACCCTCGAGTTTGGCGTTGTAAATCCATAAACCTACGCCTGACCAACCGGAACAGCCGTGGGAGTGTGGAAATACTAGTCCTGAACAGGTGTCTTTTAAAGATGGTCGTTTTATGAGAAAAAAAGAAACTGATTTTAAATTATCGCATTTTACACATCAATTTATATATAAAAAATATTGAAGAAAAGGAAGGGAGCTTTGTTAGATTTCCGTGATACGAAAATGATGCGAGTGAGGAGAGTACGAAAATATCAGTATAATATGTCAGTAAACGAAAGTATCTGATATTAAATACACACATACTGAACAAAAATTCTGAAAGATGGGACAATTTAATGGATTTTTAACTATGTATAATAATTCAAATTTAACAGCATAGTTTGATTGTCAGTAAATTAACTGTTGTTGTATTGATTTCTTTTTCAAGTATTAATTGGAAAGATTGGATAACATGGATATTTTTTTGTCATATTACTGTCGTTGCTAATGCCACTCCCACTTATTGTGATAATGAAGATAACAATTATGGTAAATTTATTTTCTATCCCATTTTGATTAGCGTATTCTAAATGATTTCTTTAAACTTGAATAAGGATTTGAAACGAGTCAAAAACTTAACAACTGACACACAATCAACAGTTCTCTTCACACCAAACCAGCTCTTTTGTTTTCTCTAGTAATAATGCGGAACAAACAGGACACAGACCACTGACTGTTCATCACTGAAAAACAAGAAGTCTATTTTGTGAGTAACCTTATTAGGATAAATAAGTTAAAATCTTAAATATATTATTAAGTATGTTTCATTATCATGTTCTCTATATACTGATGTTTGTTACTTTCCAGAGTGCAGTGATGAAATGACAAGGGTAAACTAGACAGGAAATATGTTGAAAGAAATTCGGATCGATGACTCTAAAAGCTGCTGTAAAGTTCAAAGTTTCGAACCTAAGCTGAGTACTAATTATGTAAGTGTGTCTGCATGATATGACAAACAATCATTTTGAAAAGATTTATATTACTTTTAAAATGCAATCTAGCCCGTACATCAATTATTAAAAAAAAAATCAAATCAAATCAAAAACACACACACACAAAGCACAGTTCTTCTGTCGGATGTGCAGAACAATAACAACGCATTAATACTTATTCACTGGTATCATAAGCCTAATGAAGACAATGTCTTATTTCCTTCTAATTCATTAAACAAGAGTAACATGCGGTCATTTACCCTTTCGACCAACGAGGATTCAACAGCTGGAAAGTTTGCTGAGAATGTAGTACTACACATATGTTGTTAACCAACCATTAGCCACAAATGCTTATGAAGCAAAATATTCTTTTTTAACACGATATTATGACTAGCAGATCGTAGCGATAATTCCTCTCCTGAAGATCGAAAATAATGGAACAACCCATTCATTTGTAGAATTAGGCTTTGTTTCAAGCTAAAGCATACAAAGCCATAAAAAATCAGAGTTAAAAATAGCGTGTTGTATTAAAAAACGAGCTGTCTGTTCCAAACTTTAATTATTAAGAGGCAATTTAAGCTAATCTCAACATGTACGTGGTTAATGTACAAGTTGAGATTCAGATTTATATTTAAATCAACAAAGAATAGTGAATTAATTCTTCCAAAACCGATATATATATACTCCGTTCAAACTGTCCTCTATGCTACACAGATAAAGGCCTCTGCAAATATTTACTCAATATAACTATAACCGACGCATGATGATTCTAAGATACTAATATTTAACTGATATTGAATAAAAAATTAACTTTTTCTAAATAGTGTAAATTACGAGTATATATATATATATATAAATATATCTACCGACGTCAGATAGTTACAATTGCATAATTCTTTTTATCTAAACGCAAGCACATATATATATATATATATACACATATATTCCCGTCATCTTATAGTATAGCTTCTCAGTCTCAGCTTATCAAGTCACAAAAACTTTTTAAAACAGTGTCGTTTTTCTACTGATTTACTGAAGTGGAAAGACCAAAAGTAAATTATCTTGTCGGTTTTAAACTGGATTCACTAACTTTATCTATCACCTGGGCATGTATTACAGAATACGCAAAGATGGGGGGGGGGGGATCAGAATCTAATGAAGGGAGCTTGTAAAAATAAAAAAATATCATACCTACACTGATTGTTCAGGAAATGATCACACCAACGAAACTGCTATGTACTCGTGCCTTCTTATAACAACAGCTAATGATTCAGTTGATCATATTACAGTTTTAAATTACGTTTCCTGTTCAGGTGACGAAATCTTATAGTTGCTTCTGCTTCTCCACGGTTCAGCAGCCAGATTTGAAACTGATCATCAGGATAACTGTTCCTACTGGTCCACGACACTTCCTTCAGAAAACTACAAGACAGTGGTTAGAATCTAATCCAAGAGTTCTGTTCACTAGACAGGGTAATTGCAGTATATAGGAAGCTACCACATGACGAATGCAAGCACGATGTTACAAGTCCAAGAAAGGAGATAACGCTCGAGAAATGAAATTTTTCCCGGCGAAATCTGAACTTGGCTCACAATTGTTTGAATCCTGCAACAACTGAGACTCTTATTGAATTCAGTATTAGGTTCAGATGGTCTGTCACATGACCGAAATTTGTTTCTTTCTCAACAAACTCACACAGTGTCTTTACCCATCTTGTTATCATAACTCATTCGCCTACCATTGGTCATTCCACGCCGCTGGCTCGATGCTCGTGCTTCGCGTTCGAAAATGTCCGCCGTAGCATCTTGGTCTGATTTACACCGAGCCATAATAACAGATGTTCCGGTCGAAGTTGCCATGGTGACAGCCATGTCATCACTTACCTGGGTCCGGGTGGGTGTAGGAGACAGACTCTCGGAACCGCACGAGGAACTGTCGCTAAGTTCTGCCGTGGGTCTTCGACAGATACGAGGAGAATGGTTTGGACGGCGTCCAAGAATTTGGGTCTGGATGTGTTCGCACATTCGCTTGAATCTTCGAATAGGGCCTACGGCAGAGCACATTTCAAACATTTAAGTACATCGAACACGTGTTTTAAACATTTAAACAATTATCAGGAGAAAACAATTAGTCTTGATATGTATGTTTATGAATGTCGCTAAAAAAGATACCTGACGATAAATCTATTTAGAATCTACCAGTTACTGGTTTTATAAATTTCTAAAACAGATGTGTACTTTAAGCTTAGAATTACTGGTGGTGACCATATGGATCCCCATCGGCTTTTTAAATAACATTTTCTAAACTCTTTATGTACCAAATTACTTGTTTGTCCATGACTTTTTTGGTTACAAGGATCTCTAATAACATGAGTCACTCAAAAAAATGTAAAAAGAAACTCATCAAGATTGCAATTAATCGCACTAATTACTACTGGGTATTATAGAAAATGGGTGATTTCATCAACTCTTTTGGTCAGTTATTTTACATTAATTTAACAGACAGAAACAAAAAATTACTTAATACGATGCAAAGTATGGACCCCACCATTAGTGAACGGTATAAAAACAATTTTATAACTTGATGGTTAACGTTATAGGCTTATTTTTTGTTTATTAAAACTACCCTGTAACCTTGACCAGTCAGTACTGTTACTGGAGTTAAACAGTTAACCTTGACCCATTAGCACTGTAACTGAAGATATACAGTTAACCTTGACCCATCAGTACTGTTACTGAAAATATACAGTTACTGTTACTGAAGTTATAAAGTCAAACTTGACCTGTTACTGTTGTTACTGAAGTTATACAGTCAACCTTGACCAATCAGTACTGATACTGAAGATATACAGTTAACCATGACCCGTTAGTACTGTTACTGAAGTTATACAGTTAACCTTGACCTGTTACTATTCTTACTGAAGTTATACAGTTAACCTTGACCAGTCAGTACTGTTACTGGAGTTAAAGAGTTAACCTTGACCGTTTCTACTGTTACTGAAGATATACATTTAACCTTGACCCATCAGTACTGTTACTGAAAATATACAGTTAACCTTGACCTGTTACTATTGTTACTGAAGATATATAGTTAATCTCGACTCTTTATTATTGTTACTGAAGAAGTTATACGAATAATGATCTCCCGTTGTTACAGCTTTTGAAAATGCACTGTTAACATGAACCTGCTGTTATAGGTGATGCGATTAACTTAACCCGTTATTATAGATAGTGGTGATATACGATATGCAGTGGCTCACTGTAAGGTAGTTGAAGAGGTCGAGTAAACTGTTGTAAAGTTCTGGCGTCCCTTTAACAGCTTTAAAACAAACACAAAAAAAGCACGTTAAGGTTAACCCTAAAACGTTGTTGTAACTTTGTGACATCCTCTTATCTACTTTATAAAAAGACATTAGCAATATTTCTGTTGTGTTCGTTCTTTTCTTTTTTCCTCTTTTGTTATTTATTTATTGTTATTTATTTGTTATTCTCGAAAAACCGTATCTAAGATCAAGAAAAGCATATATTTTCAAAAAATCCCCCTTTTAAAGAAGGAATTTCCTTTTGTGTCTATATACCTTATTGAAGCAGAGATGTAGGAAGCAGATTAAAAGTGGGGAACCCAAGGTTCATTTGACCGAGTTATTTCCTAACTTTGATGTATTTTTACCGGTATAGATTGAAAAATGTGCCCCCACCCCCATCACCTGCTTCGTACGCCACTGCATCGAAGTTTATGTAACATTTAGACATACATACCAAACATACATCTTTAAACAACATCTCATTTTTTGTGAAGGGGCAAAAACTGCTGAATACCTTTAAATTATTATTACTTTTAATTCAACTTAATAATCCTAAAGAGAGACAGAATATTCTTTGTATTATTTAATTTAACTAGAAGAGCTCCAACCAATGAATGGAATGATTTAATTAATCATTAAACTATTTTCAAAGCTATTTCAATGAAAGTTATTATCATATTTATTTTATATTAAGGGACTATCCTATCTGGACAATGAGGAGGGTTTATATATATATATTATTATTATAATTTTTTGCATATTTCAACAACATTCATTTGAGTTGATGAACTTAAGAAAAAGTTAGTATTATAGAAATGAGGCGTGGGTTAGTTTTATGGTAAGGCGCTGGAGCTAGGTTTGAATCTATACAATACTATAAAATATTCCCCGGGCTTTAAGCGATATAAGAGTGACAATCAACCCCTTAGCGTGGATGGTATGGTGCTGTTGACTGTCTGCTTTTCCGCTAGTCAGTAGTTCAAAATTAGGAATGTCGGCAAAGAGCTTTCGTAGCTTTTCCTCACACACGAGATAAAAAATACATTAGAGAAATATAATATAATAATACACTAGTAGATTGTATAAAACACGTTAGGGAAATATAATACACCAGAAGACTGTGTTTAATGCAAATAAAAGGACGAAGGATAAACAAGTACCGACAGGGTGTAAAGTAATAAAACGGGGGGAGAGAAGTCAAAACTCTGAATTTAGTTGAGACTGGAATTTAGGGCATACCACCACCTCCAAATCAATAACTTAAATGGTAACATGGGACGCAGGGAAGAAATGGCTTACTAAAAATATTATTCTTAGCTTTTTCTTGTGATTTTAAACTGAATTTATTCTTCCGAAAGACTTCCCTTCCTCTATCTACTTAGATAGAATCCACACGTTTAATCTAGTACTCAAAAGTTCAAGACACTTTTTTTGTGCATTCGAACTCGAGTCGAGACCAAACAAGTCTCTACTTAAGCTCGAAATTTCAAGCACTGTTCTAATAATTTACTTCTATTTTAAAGGGTTTACTCTAAGCATCTATTAACTAATCTTATGGTCAATATAAAATAATGTGTATATTTTAGGTGTTATCAATTCTCCTTTTTTGTGAAACTGATAAACTTCTTATTGTGTTAAATGGGAGAGTTTTCTTCCACATGTTTTAAAAAATTAGATATGAAAAAGTTGAAGAGTCGGAACCGAGAAAAATAAGTAAAACATCAATATACAAGATTCAAATTTTATATAGTAATTTCAATTTATCTAGCTATGCTGCAACTAATATGACCTTTAATAATTTAGTAAAAAAAAAAAACAATGTGGGGGCGCTATACAAATTATTTTAGGTTTTAATTGAACACGAACTTTAGTTACAGGCTACCTTGTGAGAGAGAAGAGGTTTCCTGATGCACCTTGGCGCGCGCGCACTACTTTTAGAAGGTAAGTGATTAATGCACTATTTCAATCATCACACGAAACATCTCCCCACCTGCTATCAAGGTAAAGCTGATACAGTAGACTGATGGTTTTTCACTGGCTCTGTCTGAGGTTCCAGTGGAGTCTTGTGTCCCGGCTGCCTGGACTTTCGTTATGTCCACGTGGAAGCGCACGTTCCGCTGGAACATGGAAGTGCCTCCTGGCCTTTTATACTCCACTCGAAAAGACATTGGCGACACGACGCTGTGACTGAGATCGGCTATCTGAAATCAACAAACTATGGTTCAATTTGGTAGAAATTACACACAAAGTTCAAGTAACATATTCAGAAGTAGGGTGGGGATTAGGTAGTAGCTAGTGTGTGAAAACACTTATTAGAGTTCTATGTGAATAAAAATTACATTTTTAACAACCCATAATCGTATACATTAGTTTAAAAGTAACACATTGGATCATAAGTAAAGAGAATAAAAAAGTTGAGCCTTAAAGAAAAACAAATTAGCGTCTTAGACTCAATCTTGCGTTATTTTTCTTCAGTACCTGAGAAAGACATACTTACCTGTCCAAAGCGCTAAAGATTTTTAAGCTTAAACCTAGCATCTGGTAAACGTATAGTAATAGTTGTATGTTTTGTTATTTGAGTATTACGCTCTAAAACTAAATCTCACGAAACGCTACGGCAGAATTATGGGAAAAACCATCAGTAACATATATTTTAAGTATCCGTAATGTGCAAAGCTTCAGAGTTAAAAATACGTGAACATTCAATTCAAAGAACAAATAAAACAGAACAAAAGTATGGGGAAAGCAATTAACACACTAACAGGAGGAAGAGAAGAGATAACGGAACTGTTATAAAAATGCAAATATAAACAGGATAATATTATATACAGTAATCTCACCGATAAGAATGCGTGAATTAAATCTGCTTTCACTGTGCTTAGAGGCCTGTCTTTGACGAGAATCACGTGTGTTTCTTCTCTGTCACCGCCCATAAGGCTTCCAAACCACGATTTCTTGGTTAACCTAAAAAAGAAACCTAGTTCAGTGTACATTTTCTAAAAATATTCAAGAAATAACTATTTATTTTACTGTTATAAACGCACTTTGATCTAGGAAAGGAGCCAACATCTCTTAATATATCCTGATATAATACTTCCAGAAGTTTCCACATTGTATCTTCATGTTATATTTCCAGAAGTTCCCACATTGTATCTTGATGTTATATTTACAGAAGTTCCAACAATGTATTTTGATGTTATACTTCTAGACGTTCCCACAATGTATCTTGATGTTATACTTCCAAAAGTTCCCACATTGTATCCTGATATTATACTTCTAAAAGTTCCCATAATTTATCCTGATATTACACTTCTAAAAGTTCCCACATTGTATCCTGATATTATACTTCTAAAAGTTCCCATAATTTATCCTGATATTATACTTCTAAAAGTTCCCACATTGTATCCGGATATTATACTTCTATAAATTCCCACATTGTATCCTGATATTACATGTCTATTTCAGGAGCGTCATTTCATAAAAGGCTTGAAAAGGGACAAAAAAAGACTGACCTCGCGTGGGCCCCCTCCAGTTCAGCTGGAGGATCTACGCTATGGCGTAATTTGCGTATATGTTTTAATCTGGCCTGACTAGAAATGTTTTACACAGACTTCCAATTAGGACGTCCTTCCGAGATTGAATCCCTGTCGTCCTCCCTCAAATGACACCCATGGTATATTTCAGAATTTCTCACAAGATATCTCTGATATTATATTTCCAGAAGTTCCAAAATGTACCCTGATGTTATACGTACATTCTAGAAGTTCTCACAAGGTGTCTGATTTTATACATCCACAACTTCAGCGCTGTTTATGTGTATCTGGTTCTCTTTGAAACTCCTTAAGCCGTTTATTTGAGAAGCGAACATGATTTCCTGTGAGAATCGTATATTTTAGTTACCAATCTCGTTGTTTTGTGAATCATTTTTGTACGTAGCTTTGTACTTGACACTATTTTGCATTATGTCTCAATTATCGTTCGTTTTTACTGTTTCTTCTGTTGAATAACCTTTATGTAGTATTTAGTGAAAGTAGGCAGAAATATACAGCAAACAAAATTACATGTAGCATTTTCGCTATCCCTGCAAAATTCATGATTTAATAAAATGTATTGAAACAGCCTGAATCGGTGTATGATTTTCAGAAAATAGAACCACCTAAGTCAAAACAACGCAAGAACTATTCGTATTTAGGGTAAAACTACTAAGCTAGCTGCCTCTATCCGTAATTTTGGGCTAATGATCAGAGAAAAGGGATTCACTGTCATTCTTATAATATGTCCACAACTTAAAGTGCGGGGTATATTTTGTGGTCTCGCACGGTTTGAACCTAATTCGTCACCCCCGAAATTCATAGCTTTACCACAGGGTCAACCTGCACCCTGCAAGAAATAAACAAAAGGAATTACAATTAAAGTAAACTAATTATTCAATCTTCCACCCAAGTATCACATTTAAATACCCCTAGTGGCAGTCTGCGGACTTATAACGCTATAAACCGGGTTTTGATTACCCATGTTGGTTACAGTACAGATAGCTCATCGTGTAGCTTTGTGCTTAACTACAAACAAATAACTATATTTAAACTCACTATATGCTACTTTGCCATTATATTCATTTACTTTTCTTCGACAAGAAAATATCCCACTGGAAATCAAAAAGCTGGCGAAAAAACATTCAGAGTTTGTTAAAAAAAAATAGTATTCTACACAGAGACGTGAATCATATTTGAACTTGAATAAACTGATGCAGGTATAGGAAAATAATTAAAACCAAAGACTTATGTAATAACTTAAACCATTTAATCTAGAAAAATGTTGTATGCTAAAAATATATTCTATACTTTTAAACAAAACTGTAAAACGTTCAAGGAAAATTGAATAAGAAATTATTGGTAGGCAGATATCTTGTTTTAAAGCGCTGAGCTGCACAATGGGCCATTTGTGCTGTGTCCACCGAAAGTTTCGAACCCGATTATTGGCTTTATATTATCTCAAGCTTACCACTGAGCCACTGGAACAGAAATACACAGCAAGATATTTGCGCAATGCCATACAAGAGCTATCTGCACTAGCAGACCCTAATTTTGAAATGATAAGCTTGAGAGAAGGCAACTAGCCAACAGCACCAACCACCAACCCGTGGGCTACTCTAATCGAATAGTGGGATTTGACAGCCACTCTTTTATTAACAGGCCCAAAATGAGCTATGTGATTTTTAGCTGCAAACGGAAAACGAACCACAGACATTCGGATTCACAGTTCGCCATGCTAACCACTGGGTCACGCCTGGTCCCAGAAAAACGTAACTTGTCATTAAGAATCACAAGTCTTTGTCGTTAACACTATGATTCTAGACTAAAACCTTTACTGTACGTGTATATGAATAATTTTTATCCAGTGTTTTTATAAAAAATCTTATATAAAGTCCCATCTATATACTAAAAAATAATATACACATTCTAGTAAAGGAAGAAAAAAGCATAAACTTACTCTGGAGAAGAATCGGGGCCCATTTCATCGGAACCTGACGGAGCTGTGGATGGAGAAGAACGATATTACAACTAGCTATATTCACATACTTGTAAAATTTTTCACTATATAACAGTTTTTTATGTAATAACACAAAAATTTAATCTCTAAACAAACAAAAAAAACTTGCATAATTTTATGCACATTTATTATTAAATGAAATGGGTTATTTAAAGAGAACAATGCCATCAAAGATAATACATAAATATCTGAAAATAATCTTCCACTTCATCAAAACAGAATAAAAGAGCTATTTAAGCACGTTCTACACTTTATTCAATAATGTATTGTTCATGTAGTGACGGCTTTTGTCTATTTATTGAAACATTCACAAGTGCGAATTGCAGCTCTGTGGATCGAATATGGGCCCATGGTGCATCAATTTGTCTTTCCTGGATAACACTAAACAAAAAATCAATTGATAATATGTTTATGTATTGGATATTTACTAAAAGATCTGATAAGCTACATTAGCGACATCCATCGCTGTTCCAGGCGTCTTATATGTTTAAATTACTTTGACCTGTTCCATGTACCGTGAAATACATTAAGTTTGCGAATCTGGGCAACGTTGACTACAGATTGTCCATAAATTATAAACGTTTTGAAATATTGTTTCTTAACTACAGTTCTTATTAGGATTACTTTTTTCACACGACAAAGGTTACTTCTAAATTCAAACATTCCTTAGGCATACCTCCCTTCCTATACATCTATATCACTAATTTATAGTGTGTATACCCCCATTTTTTTACACTTTATAAAAGTTTCGGATATGTAAATACATTCAAACAACAATTAAATGAAATAGGGGAACTTTCCTTGTTTGTTTTTTAACAACAAAGACTATGTATAAAAGTTTTGAAACATCTTAATTCTGTGTAGGGAATGTAGTATCATCCTCTTTAACCTAAATTTTATTGAAGTTCATAATCTTATAGGATCAGCTCTTGATTCTTTAAAAACTCTAGCGCCTTACGACATCTTTGGCTTCTGACAAAATCATCGTAAACACTAACGTAATCTAAGCAAAAAATCAATATTTTATTTACAAAATGGAGCATTCTGACAAGTTATTTTAGCCTAAGCAAACCAATAATTACATATATAAAACATTTCAACAGGATAACTCTCCAGACAAGAATTTAGCTTACTCTGAAGTTTCCTTCTGTGGAAGCGCGGACTGCCGAGAAAACTGTTCTTGATAGTGTTGAGTCGAGATTTCCAGTAGGGCTGACTGAGGCTGGGAGATCCAGGAGGGGTGTTTAGGGGACTTTCATCGGGTGTTCCTCTTGGGGTGGGTTTAGGGGAGCTCAGGGGTGAGGCGCTAGGACTACTGGCGTGCAAACTTCCAGTAGAACTTCCTCTTCTAGAACGGCTACGTAAAGAACAGAATGTTGCACGCATACTGAAGTGACGGCTTTTAATAAAGTAGCATCTACGTTATGTCACATTAAAAGTTGAATAAAAAATAATTGCACAAAATGATCTGTTTGGTTCATTAAATTTTAAGCTACATTTATAATTTATATTCATAAGGTTAGTTACATAATTTTTCCGACTTTAAATTAAAAATTTACCCTTTGAGCTTAAAAATATGAAAACAATATCTCGAATATATTAATAAATAATTATGTATCTTATGTTACAAATTAAAAGAAAAAATCGTAAGAAAATTTCTGGTCCATTTACAGGACAGAAGGAATGTTACATGCTAAATAAATTATTCTTCTGGTAATAATTGAATATGGTAGTATTTATTCATTACAAAATTATGTTGCTGTTTATTAGCGCATAGTAACACAAATGGTACTCTGTCCACCGCGGGAATTCGAACGCCGGATTCAAGTTTTGAAAAGTCTGTAAACTAAACCTTGACCCACCAGGGGACTCTATAAAATTAAACATGAAAATAAAAACAATTATTTTGTATGTTAAAATTTGGAAAAGTTTAGTGAATGAATCGTTACTGAATTTTTTGTGTTCTTATGATTGACTCATGGTGGCTCAGCTTGAGGGTTTAGATCACTAAGATTCAGGGTTCGATTTCTGCCATGGGCACAGCACAGATAATTCATTATGCAGCTTTGCGCTTAACAACAAAACAAATAAATGCTAAATTTAGCAATACTTCTGTTTATAGCTGTAGGCGCTCTAAACCAGTATTCGATTTTATCTAAATATCTTGACACATTATATTTTTGGTACATGGTATTTTCAATTTGATTGGCATCCTTTGCGACACGTGGGCTAAAAGGCCAGGTCACAAACCCCTTAGATTCAGCCATAGCTATCCCTAGTTAAGAACTGATAACCCCCCCAAAAAAGGAAGTCACGTAGCAGCACTCGCCACCAAATATACGCCTACTCTTAAAGGAATACTTAGATAGACTATCACATTATAATGCCACCATAGCCAAAAGTGCAGAGCATGTTCAGCGGCGTATCGCGGCTCGAATGTGGACCTTCTGATGAGCAACCTCGCACGCTAACCACTTGCCCACGCCCGACCAACGCACTATATCCATCAAATGACGTGGAATGTTTAAACTTAATTAAAACAATGTAAGTTTAACAGCAATCATATAATAACTTGAACATAAACGTTATCTCAAAAATTTAAAATTATAACAAAGCTTCTTCATAAACAACATTTGCAGTTTACTTTTCATCTACGAACAAATAAAGATTTTGGGGTGATCCTACCCTTAAACATCTTACATATTATTGACCATGAGAAAAGCATGGTTGTTTGAGAAACAATCCGGCAACTTTCATACTTTGACCTTGAACCTCTTTAAAATAATCAACATTGTCTAAAGGGTCAACCTGACATGATTGTTTGAGATCGACTCAATAGGCTGGGAGTAATTAACCAACAGGCTTTACAAAATAGAAATAGGGTTAATTTCAATTTTGACCCCCTTAGGACACTTCCCATAGTTCACATTGTTTACATAAAAATTTTGGTTCCAAATAGTTATTAAAATGTATAAAACGCAAACCCTGACGCTAATAGTTAAATTTAAAAGTCGGAAGTATTGATTTTTAGTAATGGTTCATCGGTAGTTTAAAACGATAATAAAAGTTTGCCTACTGTTGCCATTGTTCCAACAGAATAACTTTTAATTGAGAAAAGTCCTTATCTGAAGGTGTTTAGTACTGTCATAAATAACAGACACACGTGAAGCTTAAACACTAATTTATCAGGCAGGCGGTAGCACTGTCTTTGTAGAGATGGCTCGGACTGTTCATCGGAATGGTATTTTAAATATATCCTCAATAGGTCATCAGAACTTTACAATACTATACAGTGTTTCCTTTTATAACAACATCTATGTAATTACTGAGTCACAAGTTATGAGAATATCTGTAAATATCATAGCAAGAACTTTGAATTTCTTGTTCTTCTTTCTTCTGCTTCTTTTTTATTACATGATAACTCAAAAATCCAAACAATAGTATCAACCAATTTCACTAAGGTGACAGTTTCAAACGAAGTATTCGATTTTATAAGTATTATTATCAACAAATAGTAATTACAAAAATATCATAATTCTAGTGTTAACGATGTTATCATTACTCTTTGAAGTTAGCTTTCTTACATAAACTTGGTGTTCCTTTAGAAAGCTTAGTGACAGGGTGAAACAGGAATTACCAGCCAATAATATATAAATAACAAATATTACAGTTGGAACCTCATTGTACATAGAACTTGGTTATAAATACACCTTCCCATGTCTACTGAAATACTGCATTAAAAAACAACAAGCAAACAACTAAAGAAAAAACCTTTCAAAAAAGGAAGCAAATGTAAGGATGACTATTACTAATTCTTCAAAAACAGTTCAAACAATATAGTAGGAACGGCATTTGAATCATCCCCACATAATAATACAGGCAAGAATTAATATATATATATATATATATATATATTATATACTATTATACACAGTTGAGTTTAATTTAATCTATTTTTGTGTGTTAACATTCTACTACACTGTTTTTTTTTTCTTTACCTGTTACTATATAGTGATAACTGTAGGTGTATTGGTCAACAACCAATAGTTTGAAAGCATATATATTTGTTTGAAAAACAATAATAAATTCTCAGACTCCAAGGCAACCCTAATTATTTGATGTACTGTATTATCTTTTTAAATGAAATATATAATAAAAAGAGATTAATTTTATTACTTGAAGAATGTAACTTATTAGTGAAAGCATGTCACCTTAGTTATAAAGTAACATTAGGCTTCAGTTTCAGAGCTGCGATCTTCCTGCCATTTTAATTAACCCTAAGTTTGTCAAATTCAGAGATAAAAAGTTTAAGTTTACACATAATGAATGACAAATAAGAAGTTTGTGATATGAAATTATGTAAACAGAAAACTTGGAACTTCTTTCTTTAGAATCTTACAAATTATGGAAAATGACCAGTATGGGGTTTAAAATATATATGCACATGAAAAAATTAACATTTCAGGATAATAAATATTTTTATTTTTTTCAATCATCAAGTTATTTTAACATTGTTGGATATGATTTTTTTAATACAACCTACCAGCAGGAAGAGAACAAAAGACAAAAAAACGCCTGCTGTGACACTAACTTAAATTTGAAGACTCTGAGTTGGATACAGCAACCAACCTATGAGGACACCAGAGCTGTCTCTTCCTACAGGCTTGGTGTTGGATCGGCAAATTGAAAATGGTGGTCAGTCTCTTAAAACCTTACCAACAGAGACTAACTCGAAGTATAAGAAGAAGCTTTACCCAAACTCACCATCAGCACCATTTCTTGGTGAATTGATATTGTGATCACTAAGCTCGATTCAAGCATTGGTATTATAGATCTAGACCTAATGCAGATGTTGATTATTAAAATGATTTATAAATCAAGCACAAAAGAGAGCCAGGGCAATACTATTCAATGCTATCAAAATCCCTACCAAAGATGTTGAGCCACAAGAATCTGTGTGGAAAAGGAGGTGAAAAATACATCCAAATAAGCAGGCAGTGTGATCCATAGAATACTGTAAGTAAGTTCACAGGTGTTGTGATTGTGGAATAGACAAGTCAGGCTTATTCCTATTCTTATTTATGTATGGCTTTACTGGCTTGAACAGCAGTGATACAGCAAGCAGGATGCCAGTGTTGATATCCAACTATGATAGACAGCCATGAAGGTCCCTCAGGGAGTGGAATCAGAGTAGTATTGCTGACCATATTGCCTGCAGACTTCAGCTAGCGACATCTAACTGCTGATATGCAACTTCTACTACACCTGAAACTGCTCTTGAAAAATTATGAGAGCAATCCCATCCACAGAGGTCAGTGAAAATAGCTCAAGAAGCTACTAGTGGAGTTTGTCGATGCATTTGGTTGGCTTAATAGACTTACCTTACTTTGTATTATATAAGGTAGACATCAACTAAACTTTGGAAAGAGTATAATCTACAGGTATTCTAGATATATTCTACCTCTTTATTGAACTCTTAAGTCCACCTAATTCTTTTTCAAAATTGTCTGTGCATATGCATGTATGTTTTAACTATCGAACATTACTCAAGGGAAATGGCTAAGTTCTGTTTCCTCTAGTTGCTCATTATTCTATGTCATTCACTTATAGTATCATGTGCACCTTCTTGTGAGAAATATTTCTATAAAATTGAAAAATAATATGTGAAATTAGACAGTAACTTTTCCACTGGCAGGTCAGGTGATACCTTGAGATACATCCTCACTGATTTTTCGATAGGAATAACCAACAATGATGCAAGTAGTGCATGCACCCTGAAAATAGTAGCATTACTGTTTCATGTATATAATGCCGTGTTTCTCAGTCTGGAACAATTATTAAGAAGTTTTGCAGCTGGAAGCTATAGTAAAGTTGCTGTCTTTTATAAAATGCACTTACTCTGACCATATTTGAATGAGATAAATAAAGACTAACCTACTTGTTTTAAATTGTTTCCAATGTCATTATTTTCCACAATTCAGCCAAAGTCACAAGAATCATATTTACTTTGTGATATATTTTTACAATTGAACCTCCAGTTATTCTGCAGATATTTCCCAATTACTTTTAAGGGAAATCAGTATAAGAATACCACAAGAGCATATGATGGGCTCAGATCTTGTTCATGGTCACTAACCATGTTGCAAGGCATAGATCAATGAATGTAGGCCTACAACCTCTGGCATTGTAACAAACAGCTAAAGGTGTACAGTTGTGATTTGTATTAGTGATAGAACCTGCACAGGCATATAGAAAGGACTTTGAGGCAGTTTGTGATCCTGATGTCTCTGCAACAAGAATAAATAATATCTTGCATAATATACTGTTACTAACTACTGACTGCATTCATGTTAAGATGTGAAGAAATGGTTCAAACATTGTACTTTATTTGCTGCTGAAGTTTATGCTCTCAATAATACCACAGGTTATGTAGTTGTAGACACATTGGTTAGTGAATGGATTACACCCAAGCAAATCCACACCATCCTGATGCAAACGTTAATAGTCAGAACCTGTGAGAGTAGAATGGACTGGGTGTGCGGATCATGCAACAGAGTAGTAGGTTATTGACTGCTCCTTGAACTTGTTGATGTTCATGTGGGTAATGACACTTCCTACAGATCTCATGTTTGCCTATCCATCCAGTGCAGAGGTGCTCTATTGTCCATATAAATATGTGGAGTAGCTGTGAATGACTATTACCAATATGTATGAATGCACCAGAAGCTGGGTAAACTGAGCAAAGAGAATAAAACAGAACAAATAAAGGAATGTATTTCAATATAGAGAATGGGTCTGGCTATAGTACATGACAGTCTCTCAGCTCTAGGTGAATGAATACTTATATTTTTGTCCAATTACTGACCCTGCTCAGTTATGAGCTTTAACATATCACTTAAATGCATGAATAAGCATAAACTCAACATCACAAAATATTATTGTGCAAATGGCTGTGCCAGGAGTCAGTAGAGTGAACTGATGTTCTAGCCCAGTTGAGAAGTACAAGTAAGGATAGCTGAAAAGGAATAATGACCCTTGTATTCTGATCCTTGAAAATAAATAGAATATGGCTGTCAGTTTCTTTAACAGGACCACTAGAATAACCTGTGACAAACTGCACCAATGCTTGTAAAACATAATCAGATTGTAAGGTATGATACCAATGAATAACACCAGAACAATGAAGTTAAAAGATACATTTGTTTTCAATTTTCAATTTAATTTTTGAGTTTTTGAAAATTTATTTTATGTGCCAACAAATGATTATACTGTGAAGCAGTTGGTGCTACTGCTCCAACAAGTGATTTCCAGGGTTGGTTTAGCCATCTGACACATAAAATAGAGTATCTTCTTCTGCACACTGCAGGTGTAAGATTCAATACCATAACTGCTGGGGTCAGAACTAGATTCAATCAGACCTGGTGTTGATAGTCATTCTTGGATGTAGTATAGGGGCTGTAGTTAACCTACACACCTCACAGGATAAGTATTCTACTATAGAATTTAGCAGAACTACCTTCAAATTGTCTTCATAATTAAGTATTTGTTGTTTTCTTTTAATTCACCAATAGTAACTTTGTATTTTAATAACTTATGCCATAATTTGGACCTTGATTGAGCTAAGCCTGGCACTGACCAGAATTGTTACCCATTTCAGTATCTAAGACCAGAACCTAGATTTCAAGATCATTTATGTTTTTTCTTCTGACTGTATACCTGTAATAGTAGAGATCTGATATTAATGACAGAGCATTTGTTTAAAAGGTCACTGAACTGGAGGACTTGACCCATATACCAATTGGTGTAGAGTTTGCAAAGGCAGTGGCAAGATTTCCAGTCCTTATTCTGATATATTACAGTCTGGCTGTGGCAATTATTGCTTCTGTTGGTAGGACAATTGACCATAAGGAAATATCACCTTGAATGCAACATCTTTGTTAAGATTAGATGGTTTACGGAGTGTCAAGTTGTGAAATGATGCTGTTGTTGGATAAATATGTCAAGAATATGGGGTCCTAAAGTAAAAGCAGCTACATGTTCAGGTGCTGAGTGCACTGAAAGCTGACCAGGTCAATAGGCACAAGTAGAAGAAAGCTACCAACAAAACAGCCAGAGCAGCAATATTAGTTCTGCTTGGACAACCCCAGTGGCCTAATTCAATAGACTTAGGACTGAGAGAGCTTCTCCAGAAGCCACAGATCTCACCATGGATACACTGGCCAATTAATTACACCATTGTGAGACCCAGACAGTATTCTAGAATGTGTGTAAACTTTAAATTTTGGCTTTTGTTATTGTTCTTAAAAGCTATCTGACTTATTTATAATGATATGTATCTGATTTGATTATGTATCAGATGTTGAGTTTGGCATAATATTTGTTTGATATGCAGTATAAGTTCATGGGTTCTGCATGATCACAATGGACCCACATTAAAAGAACCAGCTAAAGAGAGAGAGATGAAGAGAGTTGTGATATTTTCTTGTGTAAACCTAAGTAACTTATAATACTTTGCTCATCTTTTATATTGTGTAGTTCCAAGGTTTTTGTTATTGCCCACCTATAAACGTGATCTCATGTGTTGTCTCACTAGCTACTAAAATAAAACAGGACAGCTAAGTATATACAAAACTAGATTCAGTTAAGTCTGTGTATAAAAATATTTGCCATGACAAACATGATTGTCAAAAGCCCAATTAAGCTGCTAGTTGAGCTACTTATAATAAAAAAAAACTTGATTATTGACAGTTCTGTCCTCCCATATGACAATTAGACTAGTAACGTCACAAGATCAACCTATTGATCACAAAATGGAAATAGCCTAAGTTGACGGGGGGGGGGGTATATTGAATGCCTTGTTTACCATACAATGAACATGAATTCGTTTACTCCAAGTACCATTGTTACCACAGTCAAAATGCATTACTTATCAAATGAAGTAAAGTCTTATTTGTATTATTTGTTACGTTTATGTACTTTCATAATATGAGACATATTTTCACCAAATCGTTATAAAACTTATAAAAAAAAACTCCCAAAGTGCATATACTTTAATATCATACTCAGTTGCCTTGTTAATTTTGTAGAACTCATTATACATTCAGTGTAAAGGCTAAACAAATATACTCCTCTGATAGACATTGGGTAAGAAAGCAAAAACAAACAACTATATACCTAATCCCAGTTCAGAAGAAATTCAATAAACACATTTTATTTTGCACCTAGGGTACAACTCTTACTTCGTATTGTATAAAATTTTGTTAATTCCCAAACACGTTATTAGACATATATAAAATATCGTAACAATTAACTTTGTACTGCCACTAGATAGTGCAAGGCTACATTAAAATGCTATTCATTGACAAAATACTTTAGTGATGAAAATTTGGCTATTTTAAAAATTAACATCACAATTTTACAAATGTATATAAGCCCGATTTACTTACCTATGAGGAAACCGTCTAGAAGTTAAAGGAGACCCGTCACTTAACATATCAAAAGAGTATCTAGGGAAGAAAAGGTAAGCTACGGGGTACAAAGGACTTAGGCATATCATTATATTTTCTATTTTTTTTAGATAAGTTGGAAAACTTTAAAAATTTAAATTTTTTTGATAGGGAAACTTCCGTATTGATGAGCCACAGGAATGGAATACTCAGCTTAACAAGGCTTAAGACGTACACTAAGCCAAACTAAATGTACTCTTCTAGGTTTTGGTCTCACTCCAAAGCTCATCCACATAGAAGTTTTCTTTATTAATGTGTGAGATGAAAGGGACGAGATATCGTATTAACAGAAATTTCTGTACTATTTTTTTATATCTAAAAAAATAAAAATATATTCAAATGATCTTTGCCTACATTTATTTTCAAAACTAGAGTACTTGTTACCAACTAGAATTCGCAAGTTTTAATATACTTTAATATTGTAATTTTTTTTTTACCAAGTTATTCTTATATTTGTTTATTGACTGAAAGAGAAGCCCTTAGAAGACTTATGTCTAGATAAAATAGTAATAAAAGCAAATTTAAACCTAGTTTTTACCTTCGAGTTGGTTTTTAAGAATATTCACTAAAATAAATTAAAGAATATTTTTTTTATTCAGTTCGCTTTCTACTTTTCTATTTTACTTACTTATTGTCAGATTTTTAAATCTTAAGAGAACTTTTGGTGGTAAAAAATGGTTATATAAATATATATTTATTTATTTTTAGTTTTTTTTTACTTTATTACCATGTAAAGTCAAATTGTAAGAACACTTATGTATGTTTCAAAATTAGTGAGCTTCATTCATCTGACACAAGATAGAAATAAAACGCCAAGCACCAAATTCCATTCATTCCAACATCATATTTACCATAGAACACGAAAACAATAAACAGTTATCTTTACTTAACCACAAAATTATTAGATCGGACACACAGTTTAAAACCAAAATTCACCACACGAACACACATACTGGCCTCTACATACCCTGGAATTCCACTCATGACACCACACAAAAAAATCAATACACTTAAAAACCTCATAAACACAGCCACAAGACTCTGTTCAACGGACTACATAAATGAAGAAATTAACCACATAAAGCATTCCTTTATTCACACCAATAAATTCCCACCAGCTATTGTTGAAAAACTCTTCAACATTCCCCACAACAAAACTCAACTCACGAACAAAATTGATACTAACAAACCCAACAACAGTACATTACACTGCAGTTTACATTTTGTTCCTGAAACCAGCTCAATAATTATACACACTTGGACAAAACTAGCCATTAAATACAATATTTCTGTCAACGTCAAATTCTCACAAACACCCAGCCCTAAATTAAAATCGTTACTAAACAAAGATTATTTACAATCACACAATACCAACGTCATTTACAAAATAACATGCAATAACTGCCAAGAATTCTACATTGGAGAAACCTGATGATGACAAAAACCTTGTCGAAACGTTGTACATTTGCTGTTATGTTAAACTTATATTGAAGTTTTTCTTCATTACCGATTCAAGCCGTCTCCAGCCATTATTGTATATATATATATATATATATATATCCGTGTGAGTGAAAATTACCTGTACCTGATGATGACAAAACCTTGTCGAAACGTTGTACATTTGCTGTTATGTTAAACTTATATTAAAGTTTTTCTTCATTACCCATTCAAGCCGTCTCCAGCCATTATTAGTCTCAAAGTGGGTTCCTCGTCATCGAATATTGAATAAAGCTCTTGTGAATACATATAATAATCATATTATAGTTACTTAGTTCCTGTATTTAGACATTTTTAGGAAGGAAACATGGATACCCTTTAGCATTAAGTGACTTTTAATAGGACTCAATTAAACCCTAGTGATTCAAAACCAGCCAGGGAATAAAAAAAAATCAACAAACTCTAGTATACTGAACCACAAAATAATCTCTTACCTAGGTCCTGACCGTCCATTTACTTGGCAGGTATCTACCCTTTTTCTCGGGGGATCAGCTAAGAACATGAATAAAAATAGTCATTAATCTTTTCAACTTCCTATAATTAGACTTAAGAATTACTGAAGAATGTGCAAAAATGAGGGTTGTGTTCTTCTTTTTCAGCATGTTAGGATTCATTAACATGACCCCTCCCCACTCTCACTTCAACAACAAAATCACTTGGCTATTGATAAAGTGTGGTACTACTGTAATATAGAAAACATTGCTGTAACACGTCGTCACATGGTTACTGTGACAGGAGCAGCTAGGTGAAACTATTTAATTCGTCTACATGCTGCCTAAAACTTTCTTTAAAAGAGTATACTGTTTATGTTTTAGATAAAATGACTCAATGAGCTAATGCCAAAATATAGTAATTTCAACCATTCAAAATCTTTAGTACCCAGTTGTTACAAGTTCTTTGGTGCTTAATATATTTTATACTGACATATTTGTTCATTTAAACAGCACAGTATTTTGTCATATAAATTGCTGGGTTTACGAACAATGAAAATGAATGCAAAGTAATTGAAATTTTCGTTAAAATCTTACGTTAAGTGAAATAAAAATGTGATTATATATCATACCAGTTTGGGTGCCTGTTATACACTCTAGATGCCGTATTTCTTATTTTATTACTTAAAAAAAGAGTCACTTGTAAGATAAACGCTGTACAAAATATACTCATATCAGTGAGAGTTGCAACTGGTTAGAAAGTAATCTATACAATCCACCCTTCAGAAGCTCTAAGACCAATATTTGTAAAGTATGGAACACAAACTCGTAAAAACGTATATCGACACCAAAATCACAGAAGTACTGAGGTCAAACATGTGCAACACTGTAACTGGGTTGTGTGTTATCACTGGATGCATTAGTTACGATTAGTGCTTTAGCGGGTCTGCGGAAGAAAACTTCTTTAGAGATTACAAAGTTGGTCTTTGATTTTGAGCTGATAGACTAAGGGTAAAGTAGCTAGTCAACAGTATCCACTGCCAACTCTTCGGATACTCTAATCGGATAGTGAGATTTGACCATCTCTCTTATGATGCAACCATGGCTCGAAAATGCGATTTTGCGGTTGCGGTACGGAAACTTTGAACTCTCGGAACTAAGAACTAGGCGTGCCCTATAAAGAGAGGAGAAGTAAACCATTTTAAGTGTTATCTTGAGCTAGTTGCCTTTTTTATGCTTGCACTGTGTCGCTACCAACCAATAATATGAAATCAGTGGTTCAGTGCATGTCCAAAAATATCCAATGGATGGTCAGTGGGTAGAGAGAGATGATCTTATCAATCAGCAATATGGGAATAATGGCTTATGGCATATCAAAAAATATCTGAATGTGTTAGAAAAGAACGATGACTGACTGGGCGGATGGTCCACCTACACTTCAAACCGTGAATGAGCTTATGTCATGCAAGTGGAGTCACTTATTCGGAGATAAAAGTTGTACTTGTCTCGGAAATGACATAGTGTGAACAGACCCATTCACGTTGGGAACACGCTGCAATCGTACTGACTGATACGAGTTCATAACATTCGATGAAGATTTTGGAGGTGTTTGTTTTTGTGTTTTGTTCATAGCAAAACCACATCGGGCTATCTGCTGTATCCACCGAGGGGAATCGAATCCCTTATTTTAGCATTGTAAATCCGTAGACTTACCACTGTCCTACCGGGTGAAATTTTGGAAGCAACGACTAGAAAAAAACATTCCAGCAATATAAATATCATGAAACATATTCCAGATATACTGTTTATTATACTTCTTATAAAAAAAACTCAAGTTCTGAATAAGTTTGTTACAGAAAACATGTTATCAATACTTTGTGTCCCTTATTTAGTTCCCTACACGCGTCTTAATTGTCATTTGGAACTGACGGTATCCATTTTCACGCATAGTTTTCTCTTTAAAAAATCTACCATTTTCACACTAATGTTAAATATATTTGCAACCTAGAAGTTATAAGAAAATCACCGATAACGTTAGGCCCTCGAGATGATAATGACAACCCTGGTTTAAAGAGTCTCGCTCATCGCGGAGATAGATGAATCTACTGATGGAGAAGTACCACTATTTATTTTACGTTTCAACAGATTGATATATATCAATTAATTTATGTTTCTGCTTTTTTATTTCTGTCGTTATTTTTTCGCCTCTTTTTGTATGTGAAATCAGTTTTTGGTGTCGGATGTGCATTACTGCAAGTACATGAACGCCTATAAGTATATTTAGATTGGTAAATTGTGTGGATCGTTAAGAAATAATTTTCTACTTTCAAAAACTATTTTCTTTAATATTATTCGTTATAATGCTTAAAATATTTTCGAATATTATTATTTTATTATTAATTTTAAGTTTAAGAAGATTAATTTTCATCTTTAGTTCAGTATATGGATGTAGTCCTTTAAGCTGGTTGAACTTCCTGAGATGTTATTATTGTTATAAGTATCGTTAATATAATTTAATCATTATATGTTTAATCTTATATTGATTTTTGATACTATTTTTCTTTATTTTTTGTGTAGAACTGCTTGCTTCATTAATTTATAAGTTAAGTTTCAGTTTTGATTTATGTAGTTTGCTTAATTTTGAACAGAAGTGATTAACCATATGTTTGTACTTGCGCAAACATTCGTTTTGTAACCAATCGTAGAACGACATTTTGTCAATGCGTTAATCAAGAAAGAGTTGTGTTGTCTTCGTTGATTAGAAGACATCGAGATTAGCCAATGAAAGTAAGTTTTGGAAAAAAAACACTTATATTACTGTTCCATAATATGTATAATAACTGAAAATATAATCTCACAAAAAAGCTTAGTTAAGTTTCGTGGAATGTAAACTCATGCTAAAAAACTGTTAAAAACAAAGGAACATCAATATTCGGGAGTATGTATCTGAAATTAAATTGCTTTAATTAAGCAAGTCGTTTAGTAAAAGCTGAAAGAAATATTTATATAGTTTAATAACAAACTTGTATCCACTCAGTAGGTGGCGCAAGTATTGAATAGAGGGAGAGGCAGAACTTCAATAAAGAGCAGTTTTTTTTTTTACGTTCCCTTTTTTTACAACAATTTACAAGTAAAAGGGAAATAGTGTTAGGAAGGGTTCATGGCGTATGTATTAGCTGGAAAACTTATTTATAAACAACTTTTGTTTTTGTGCGTCGGTATTCATGTGAATAAAGTATAAATCATTTTTACTTTCAGCATGAGTTTGAAAGAAATAACACCGAACATTGGCGTGATCGACTAAATTATTTTTAGCCACGCCCTTTCTCTGATGTGACATAAAGAAACATTTTTAGCTATGGTACCAACACGCATATATACTGTAGTTGACGATACTAATAACATTATATCTATTAGACTAGTTATACTAATAAACTGAGCACAAACAAAACAGTTGATAAATGCTTATTGAATTACAAATTAAGAGAGGGTTAAATAACGAAAGCTTCTTGGTGCACTTTGATTTTAATAAGGCTTCAGGTTTTATGTTAATTAGGCATACAAAATACTGTTTGTTGTTATGCATATATCTGGCAGCCAATTTTAATCAACATAAAAGCACTACTGAGAAAAAATACAACAAGCATCCTAAAGCTAAAAAACTAAACTTGCTAAAAAAACATAAATATGTTTATGTAGTAGAGATACAAAAAAAAATATATTTCATAACCATTAATTACTAGGTTTACAGAGGGTTCAGTACGTTATATTAAAACGATTGTGAATACGCAAATGAGAAAGTTACGTGACAACCACAGCTGATATAAAATTGCGGTGGAACTGAATGTATCATAACTATTATCTGGCATTTCTTAGTTAGTGTATGCCACCGAAAATTGATCGCATTAGGGAAGGGTACGTAACAGCCTTTTCATACGTATAATGCTCATACACTCTGATCATAACGATGTGTTCAGATCTAGGGTTTAGAATGTCCAAGATGGTGATATGCCTTGTACTTAATGATATTGGAAAACAAAGGAATACTGATCAACTTGAGGCAGCAGAACCATCCAGAACGAGGCCTGTAACAAGTCGTACACCAGGAGTGTTAAGTAAGGAGCAGTGTTCCTTATCAGTTGAGAACACACGAACACAAAGGTCAGTGGCAAATGTTTTTCAAGTGATCTATGCAACATAATCAAGAAGGATTTCTATCTGTAAAAGCGAAACAAATCACGTATACATAAACTGCTTCCACGACATATTAGTTCAACCATCGCCTACATCAGACAGATGGAGAATAAAACGGGTATCCATGCTATTCTATACGAAGGCATATCAATCACGTCGCTAGACGTAGCGCTTTTGAATTTCTATATGATAGGACTATTGAACACTAGACGGATCATGGAAAGCTGCAAAGAGTTGTAGTGTGCTTTTCACGTGACAGACGTACGACGGAGCCTTTTGCAATGGAAATTACGACGTAGAACTATTCATCGGACATGGCGACATGACGTGATGAGGTTCGAAAATTGTTTTAATATAACGTACTCAATCTCTGTATTTTCAAAGACATTATTCTAGAAATAAACAGCTCACATATTACGAAATCAGAAACCGTCACATACATATACCTGACTCTGAACGGTTTCTGATGATTATTTCAGTTTCGTCTTCATAAGCTGGCTTCCGCCTTTTTCGGTCTAGCAGCAAGAAGTATATAACCTTTTCCGTGTTATGACTGTGAAAGAGGAAAATGAAAGGCAAGGAATTTTATAACTAGGTTGCCATGATCTGGCAGATTTTGTTTTGCTAATAGTATATTATTCACGTTGTAAGTAAGGAAATTGCACAAAGTAAGAAAACCGTTATATAGCAGTCTCAACGTTCCAATAATCTAAGAATTTACAGAATACGTAAAAAGAATTGAATTAAATTTTTTTCGCGATAAGTGTTCCACTTTTACTTTTCTTCTAATGTTAGTTAGCTAAGATCATCGATCACACGAATGTTCCTTTCTCAGTCCCAATACTATTAATCTCATACCTTTACTTTGGTGTTGTGTTGGTTTGTAGATCAAGCTAGACCTTGTAGTTAGCGTGCCGGACTGAGGTTCCGTGATTCACGTCCCGTTACCACCAAAAATAAAAAATAAAATAAAAAGAACGCGCTCTGCACTTTGTGCCTATGGATGCTTTATAAGAGTGACAGTAAAATCCCAATATTTGGGCTGAAAAGAGTAGCCCAAGAGATAGTAGTGGGTGGTGTTGACCAGATGCCTTCCCTGTAGGTTATCACTTCAAAATTAGGGAAGACTAGGGCTGATCGCCCTCGTGTAGTTTTGTGTGAAATCCAACAAAACAAACAGAAATTCACGCAAACATACACAAGGGCTTTCCGGGCTAGCTGTCCTTAATTTTGAACTGATAACTAGAGGGAAAGCCTACTGAACCGCAGCCATCACTAACTCTGGTTTACTCTTATCGAATAGTGGGACTTGATCGTCTCTCTATAACTCACTCACTGCCACAAAGTGTGCAGCGCAATTTTTCCTGCAATGGATCGCGAACTCTGAGCTCTCAGATTCACAGTCCGTTACGTTAATTACTAGGCTACACCCAGTCCTTTTGCTTTAACATGCACAGATCATACTAACTGTTACGTTTTGTCAAAATATGGTACTGTACTATGACTTGTGTACCCCCTAAATCTTAACAACGGCAAAATCAAAGCAAATTCGAGTAAGTTCCTTTTACGAAATCCCATCTGTGTATCTATACATATTATATATTCTCGAATATACTCATGTGATAACACCAATAATTTTTGTCACAATAAGTATGGCGAATCTACAAATAAGGTGTTTTTTCATGTCGAATAGATATTTAAAACACAAGGTTTACAGAATATTTTTGTGAAAGATCAAATTTATCTTTGCTGTTTTTATCTGACATTAATGATAAGAAAGGCTGTAATAACAATTACCGAAGTAATTACAGTAATGACGGTTTGAGAAATGTGCACTTCTTCTACCTTGTTTGACCCTTTGTGTCTGTGTTCAGCACTGTACTAACCTTAATAAATTTCATCAACACAGACCATAGAATGACAGTTCTACACATTTTCTTCAAATAACAGGAAAAAAATTCGACTTACATTGGTCTAATTTAAAGTACTCCTGTATTCAGTAAAACCAACTGATACGTTTCCAAAAATATTATCAAAATTTCCTTTTACAAGTACCTCTCACTGAGAAGTTCCTGAAGTAATTTCTCCTTATCTTTGAAACACCCTAATGACGTCATACTGGCTAGTACATCCGGGTCCAGATCATCAAATGATGGAATAATATGAGTCTAGAGATAGGAATTTAGTACAGATTAATTATTTCTTTCCGAAAAAGTTGTGTTGAAATGAATGATATAGAATCATTACGATTATACTGTTTATGGATATAGTTTTCACGTAGTTTAAGTAATAATTATTATGTTTTAAAGTTTTCTTACCTGCTGATTCTAAAATTATTTTATCGATTTTAATAAGATATGAGCATTAAAATCTGACCTTCTATAAATCTGTAGATAAACAAGGGCTAGAGGAAGGAGACTTTTACAAATTTTGAAAGTAACACTGAAAAATTAAAAACGAAAAATAATGCATATGTTGTGATGAATAAAAGATTATCATGCACGTATTTGTGAGTCTTAACGAAACTATACGGATACGTTCTGTTGATAGGAGTATGATCTTTAATTAGAGAATGAGTAGGCACGCTCATTACACCTTTTTCAAAATGTTTTTCGTCTTGGAGGTTTTTTTTTGCGTATTTCAATTAGATTCTACTCAAAATAATTACTACTAGTATAATGTGAAACAAAATACTTTCTCCAACATTGTGACTGTAGTGGGACACTCAGAATACAGGTAAGGTTATTAACTAGTTACAAAAAAAACGGGTTGACACCCCACTTCTCCATGCAGAAGCTTTTCTACAGCCTTGTTATAACTTTAAATCTATTCAGTAATATGCAGACATATGTTGTCTGTTGGTAGTTTTAAAATTTATTTGCTATAAAACGGGCATTTCAAATTATTAGTAACAATAAATAAAAATACAACGAAAAATAAAAGGGCATTTTCATTAAATTCTTTATTTCGAGAAATACTATATATTTTCCATATATTATTCGAATATTTTAATGGTTGCCACAGTTTCTTAACTTGTGTTACTGCTTGATCAATCACTTATGTACACATCATATACTTTCTTTAATAGGTATAACTAACTAACTTACGTACACATTACATCATTTCTTTAAGATGTATAACTCAATAATTTATTTACACATTAAATCCTTTCTTTAACAAGTATAACTCAATAATTTATTTACATATTACATCACTTATTTAAGATGTATAACTCAGTAATTTATTAACAAACTATATCTTTTCTTTAACATGTATTAGCTTAAGGATTTATGTACACATACATCCTTTCTTTAACATGTATAACTTAATAACTTATGTACACATGCATCCTTTCATTAACATGTATAACTTAATAACTTATGTACACATGCATCCTTTCTTTAACATGTATAACTTAATAACTTATGTACACATGCATCCTTTCATTTAACATGTATAACTTAATAACTTATGTACACATGCATCCTTTCTTAACATGTATAACTCACTAACTTACACACACACGACATTGTTTTTAAGGTGTATAACTTAATAATTATATATATATAATTTATGCACACATTACCATTAAATCCTGTCTTTAACATGTATAACTCAATAATTTATTTACACATTATATAATTTCTATAAGATGTATAACTTAATAATTTGTTTACACATTAAATCATTTCTTGAACAAGTATAACTTAATAACTTATTTACATATTACATCATTTCTTTAAGACGTATAACTCAATAATTTGTTCACAAATTAAATCCTTTCTTTAACATGTATAACTTAAGGATCTATGTACACATACATCCTTTTTTTAACATGTATAATTTAATAACTTATTTACACACGCATCCTTTCTTTAAGATGTATAATTTAATAACTTATGTACACATGCATCCTTTCTTTAAGATGTATAACTCAATAACTTATGTACACATGCCTCCTTTCTTTAAGATGTATGACTCAATAATCTATTTACACATTAAATACTTCCTTTAAAATGTATAACTCAATAATTTATTTACACATTAAATACTTTCTTTTACATGTATAACTCAATAATTTATTTACACATTAAATACTTTCTTTTACATGTATAACTTCATGATTTATGAGCAGATTATATTCTTTTTTTCACATATATAACTTGTATTTTATTGTTAGGTTGAAATAGGTTTTGGTACATTCGTTCTATTTCATAAAAACTACGGTCTTCAGGTATTAATTATTTCTTAAATACAGAACTTAGTGTTTTTTTTCTATGATATAAGAATTTCCTACCTGAACTACCTCTCTCATGGGTAATTCCTGATCCAGATCGGTCTTACTTCCCCTGAAACGAGAATATAATCTTCATATTTTGAAAGAAACTTTAAACACATATTCTCAAGAAATGTAAGGCAGTGCTTCTTAAATCGTCATCACGGTTTATACCTTTTTACAACAATAATAGTTTTAAGTTCACATATTCCTGTGAACTTAAAACTATTATTGTTGTAAAAAAGTATAAACATATTCCAGTTTATACCTTTTTACAACAATAATAGTTTCAATTTCGTTGGAATATGTTTATACCATTTTAGTTAGAACAAGCACTGAGAATAATGATAAAGTTTTGTTCTATACATCTACATGTTGAAAAAAGAACAAAAAACATTGAAACCAAAGTTTAATGCAATCATCGGGGTAAAACAAATACCGAACTTCAAACCCTCGCTTAAAGACTGCACTGGACGAACGGAAAAATCTCCATCAGTCGAAAGATGAAAACTTCAAGTAGTGGGAGATGCAAATACAACATCATACAAAGAAGTACGCATGCTCATAGGTCTTTCAGATTTGTTTTATGTAACATCGTAGGAATACAGATTTTCAAATAATGATATAAGATAATTCGTTTAAATAGGCAAAGCATAGAAAAACGATTTGACTTAGAAACTGTAATTCAATAAATCACAGCGTAAATGTATTTCGCCCGAAACTTTGCTATGCGAATCTCAGAATCAAGTAACATAACGTGCTCGTTTCAACAGAGATGTTAAAAACTACAAGACGCAATATTTCGTTCTACTTCGATTTCACTGTCGTATTGTTTCACAACACATGACAACCAGAAACAATATTGTGGCAAATGGTGCAGTTGCTGTATTCCAAAAGCACTATTTAAGGTCTCTCTGACGTACAAATGTCGAAATACAGTTATTTGTAAAAAATTACGTTTGTAAACGAAGTATAACTGGTACATGATATATAACATGTTCTATTTTTCTACAAATTACTTATGATCTTGAGAATTTAACACTAAGTGCTTAGTATGTAAGGACGGGCTGGAAAAAAATGGCCGAACATATCATGTGTTGCTCATCATAGTCTCAAAACTCTCTTATAACAATCTAAGAGATTTTTATAAATACCTAACTTAAGTTTTCATGGTTTTCAAAAGCTATCAAGACCTTCAGTTTAGCCAAAAATATCGCTAAAACAGAGAACCGGCGAGTAACGTAACAGCCAAATGTTCTGTTGATTATTCTGATTCTGACGTCAGAAGGGCTAGCTCAACAATGCTTGAACTTAATGCGATGACTTTGTTTGTTTGAAGTTAAGCACAAAGCTACACAATGTGCTATCTGTGCTCTGCCCACCACGGATATCGAAACCCGGTTTCTAGGGTTGTAAGTCCGCAAACATACCGCTATGCTACTGATGGGCTGCGATGATTTACACACAAAAATGTTGCATTTTAACTTGGGGAGTGTAGAAGCAGTATAGCGTTTCACTAACTTCAACATATCATGCCCATCAAAATAACTCATCACGCCAGGCTAAAACTGCTGCCTTCATAGCGACTGTCATTCATTAGAAAATATTCATTGGTGTTGTTTAAAAAAAGAGGGGGGGGGGAACAAGTATGAACATTTTTTCTTTTAAAGAATAAGGATGATGTAGGGATGGCAATGCCAAAAAGTACAGAAACAAGGTAGGAATGAATACACAAAACCATACAAAAATCCCTACATAATTAGCCACTGAGTCAATGTTAAAAGCTTATGGGAATTAGCCATTGTAAGACTTTATAGCATTATTCAGTTTAAATGCTTTTACTGAAACCTGAATTCGTGGAAATGAAAGGAATTCAACATTTATTTGTAGATAAGAGTATATCTTGGAAAGATATGACTACTTATGTACAGAGTTTTGTGTATTCATCCCTAACACGTTTCTGTACTTTTGGACATTGCCATCCTTACATCAAACTTATTTTTTTCACAACTTTTTTTATTACTTATCAATAAGAACTTCTGATTAAAAGTAGCGAATAGTGCATAATAATAATATTTTAACCACACTATATCTGCTATAACCAATCCACTACCGACGAAGCCTTTCGCTCAACAGCAGGGTTCTTCATGACGGCTGCTGAGAACGACGAATACATATTTCAAAAGTTGAGACGCTATTTATAATAGTAAACCGCTTGACAACAAACGTTACGGTGTGAACTGGATTAAGTTGATGAAATGTAATTTTTCATTATATTTATTTATGTCATAACACATCAGAATTGGCTTAAATATTTTTTAACATTATATTATTTATTTATTTAACGCCATATATAATTCACTATTATGTTATTGGATTAATCTGCCTCGCGAATCAGCAAACTAATCTTATTAATCATGGAGCAGATGAAGCAACCGTATCACTAATGTTAGCTTAAACTTCTTGGGATAACCATGCAAAAAGTATTATGTTTTGTTAAGAAGTTTTCCTACTAAAGTATTAATACTTACATATTAATCTGAGGAAATAAATGTCTTATTCCAGTAAATTCCATTATTTATCACTCATATTGAAATAACCTTAGAGAGTGAGCATTTTTGGGGTGAACTCAGTGGTGAGAATTTACAACTTGTATATGGATACGAATTGTCATTATACAAGCATAGTTCATTGCGTTGCACCAGAAACTGCATGGTATATGCAAAGCCAGTAATATCAGTACATTAGCAGATGTCCGTTGAAACAATTCAACGGTAATTTTCATAAAAATAGTGATGAATAGACATAAAATGTGCAGTCAACCAAATCCTTCGGTTCGGAGTGTATATGCAATATGATTGTCTAGTGGGCCGTTTACAACCGTCTTTATATCATTCCATGTGTATTTCAATAAGGATAATCGCATTGCGTTTGTTTTTAGCAAAGAAGACTGACAGCAATGCTCTGTTGGCAAAAATGTTTGGTTTTCGATGCAATTGATGCATCCAGCACAATAGAGCACTCAAGTTTGCTAAGTAGCTGTGGGGATTTCTTTTTCCGTTGGATGCCATTGTTTCTTGTCATTTTACTGAGCACAAGTAAAGACTGCTACCAAAATGAGCGCTTTTTTTTACCAGTTTTCATTTTTATTCAATTCAAATAAATTTATTCGACATGGTATAATCAAATCATGAAAAAAACATAAACCAAACAACAACAGATCTATACTAAAACATGTCCCTCTCTTTATGTGTTTTTCGTTCATGCTGCTATTTTCGAAATATTTCTTTCAGTCAATCGACGGAGGAAGTCTCGTTTTTTTGTGTTTTTTCGTGAAATTCCCCCACAAAAATAAACATTTTTGGTTCTTAATAAATTTTTCTTAAATTGACCGTTCAGCACATACGAAGACTGACGAATCAGTGTTGATATCAATGTGGAATTTTAGGAATTGCAAACAAACAAACAAACAAAACTAATAATTTGCCTTTAATGTACTCTTAAAAATGGATTTTGATATATAATTTTTTTTGTCTATGATTAACCGTTCAGGAGGTACCGAGCGTGACAGACAGAAAGACATTTGGCTATTATATACATACATATATAGAAAACCCGATTATTTTACAAGATCTCCTATTGAAATCTGTTGTCAAAATATCAACTGATTCTACAAAAAACGAATTAACTAGCACTGCTATCAATTCACTTTTGTGGAACAAAAGCGATAACTTATGTCAAGTATGTGTAATGAAGTGACAAAATTATTTTCTCAAACTTTATTTCTAACGATTTACTTTATTAAAATGAAACTCGTTTCTGTTTCCGTTTGATCAAACTGTGAAGCAGAAATGTTCCATTTTTCTAGTTCTGTACAAACTATCTTTCTAAAGTATGTGTAGACTGTTACTTACGCCATTGTCCAAGGGTGCCTAAGGACGTCAGCCAACTGAAAGAACAAGAGAAAAGTTGTTTTAATGACCTTTCGATTTGTTTTTCCGTGAATTACAATGTATCAGCCACAATAAAGAATGTCTAGACGAGGGTTCCCGAAAGTGTTCTATTTCAACAGTAAATAAAACCAAAATCAAGAGCAACAAATATCTTTATTTCCTGCTTTTGAAGTACGTATGTCATGTTGTGTTGTAGCCTACAGAGCGCATAATTCTTCTCGTGATTCATGGCATGCGCACGTTTTACTGATGTCACGACAGTACAAATTGCAACGTCATTTTACTGTCTACTGACTGACTGACAGACAACACACTATTGTATAGTCGTGCGAGAGGTTGAAACAGGTGAGCCCTCCAGGCGCTGTGTTTCATGGTTCTATACTGTGGATTTTCATCTGCAATCGGCGCTCTGATTGCTGAAATATATAAGACTTAAATATATTAAATTATTTCATTCGTGTTGGATTTGTATTCCATATATCAACGATTCCAAACTGAAGACATATACTATTACCAGTTCCACTTAGTCTACGGATGATAATACTTGTAAAGCTTAATCCTGTAAATTATTCTAAAGTTAAATTACCTGAAGTCGTGTTCAAACGATCTTATAAATTTCTTACTGACCAAGATGATTTTTGGCAAGAAAAGACAGTTCGGACACAACCGTAGTGGCCATCATGCGATTTTATTTGAATTTTGTTATGAATACCATTCTAATCATAGGTGTCAGATAGAGGGTGGTGTCACAGGAACCATCTCATATACAGGGTTCAGCACCCACCTCGCCCTTCCCCACACATAAATTTCGATAGGTTTCGTATGGGTCAACATATAAGTATCATCAAATATATCTAAGAGAATAACAAGAATGATATTTTTTCCACATTTTGCTTCCTACGTCTTCACTACCTTTCGTTAACATAATATTATTTCGTTGATTTTTTTTTTTTGGAATTGGAACATCATCAAGCGACACATACGCTTCGATGTCTTCGATATCCACCCACTCACTCGCCCATTTATCTCCAATAGATTCTGGCACTAGATGTTAAAACTGTAGTTCTTATTGCATTCTCTAAAGAGTATCACTTATATCCACATCTGTAAAGCAATATTAAGTTGAAAAAAAAATAGCTTACAACTATTTCAAATTATTAGATATGAAATGAATTTTAGTGCCAATACAGATTTAATGTACCCCGCGCATTTCAGTGACACTTCGACCTTTACTTTTATGAGTTACTTTACTACCTTTTTGTGAATCAAGAAAGTAATACCGGGACCGATCTTTGTAATTCTGTAATCAGTTTTTATTCTAACAAATACGTTGTAAAGAGTTTTTCTGTAAAACTTTTTTTATGGATTGATTAAATTAACGCTTTTGAATTTTCATATAGTTGTTGGTATTACTATTGTTTTATTAGTGCAAAGCTGCACAATGGGCTATCTGCATTCTGTGTACAGCGGGATATCGAACCCAAGGTTTTAGCTTTGAAAGCCCGAAAACTTACCAATGACCCAACGACGGATCTTTTAATATGAAAAATGGGTGGCTCGGCGTTAAGCTAGAGAGCATGTAGCACTAAAATTCAGGGTTCGATCCCTGTGATGGGCACAGTCAGCCATTGTGCAGCTTTGTCTTAGTAACAAAAAATCATAGCTTGAAAAACGTAACAGAAATATATTTGAAACATCAAAAAACATTTATGAACCTGATGCGAAATTATAACTACTAAATATATAATGAATTTTAATTATTACCTTTATGAGTAGTTAAACGTTCATATATGTGTTGATTTGTTACTCGCGTTTTTCCTGTTGTGCATGGATTGCGCCCCGTTACCGCAATAAAAAAATAATTGTACTCCCCACTTCAGAGCCGCGGGTGCGTTATAAGAGTGCCGATCGAATCTCACTATTCGATTAGAGTAGCCCACAAGTTGGTGGTGGGTGATTTTGAATAGCCACTATTGCTGTATTCTATCTCTTGAAAATTAGGGACGGCTAGCGAAGATAGCCCTCGAGTTGCTTTGCGCGGAATTCAACAAAAAGAAGTGAGAGAGAGACTTTTTTTAGAGACTTGCCATTTTTAGATTTTATTTTTTATTTACATTTTTTTTTCAAAACTCCATAGTAAAATAACAATATAAGCTAAGCGCAAATGTTTGCTGCAGAGGCGTCGCTAGGTGCTTAAAAGATTTGGGGCTCGGGCCCATAGGTGCGGGAATTTTTCGCGTTTCAGTATGATATCGATCATGTTTTTTTATCCTGATTTTTCAACCCACCAACTGGGGGATTCGGGGCACTGTCAAATAGAATCGGGACATGGGCCCTGTGTGTGCCAGCGCCTAGCGACTCCTCTGGTTTACTGCATTATAAGCTTCTTATTCCAAACTATAATTCTTAATCCATTGTTCTTTAGATTCAGATTGTAGTCTAGTGGTTAGGTTGTTGGGCTAGCGACGCAAGGAATCCAGAATTTGAGACGTGATGTCACCGAACACCCTCTGCTCTTTAGGCGATGGGCGTATTATAGATGTAGCATTCAATCCTGCTATTTGGTTCAAAAATCTAGGCAAAGCCCTTATGGCAGTGGGTGTCACTGTCTGGCTGCCTTTCCTCTGGTCAGTAATTCAAAATTAGAGTCCTGAACCCTAAAGGTCTTTGATATGGACATTTAACCTATGAAAGGTGTTATTTAGGTTGAAAGTTCCAATGTATATTTGAATGTAATATTAGTGAACTAACCCAATTATCCATAGGACATAATACAAATATTATCATAAGTAAGAGAATAATATTTTTTTCACATTTCGGTAAAATAAAATTTAAATGCATACGATGTAAAACGATTCTCAACATCTGTTTTAGATAACTAAACGATTTCTCTTACCTTCATTCTCTTTTCGGGATTTACTTCAATCATTCCTCTAAGAAGGTCCTGGCACTCTGGAGGTACAAAGTGGGGAATATGGAACACTCCTCGTTTCACCTTTTCTAGAAGCTGGCGAAGATTATCATCGTCAAACGGTAAGGCACCCTTTGAAAACATTAGATCACAGGGTAACTGTAGTATCTCGGTTGTCAGTATGAGCCAGTTTTATTCACAATAAAAATCACAATCCACGTTTAAAAAATAAACAATTGAATCAGTTTAATTTTCTTCGTAAATACATACATACTTTTTTTTCCATTCATTTTGAAATAAATCGTGTCTTCCTCCTGATGGTTTCCCAGGGTTTATAATGCTAAAATTCTGGATTCGAACACCGCAATGAGAGGTAGGGGTCGGCACAGTATGGATAACTAAGTATGTAGCTTTGCGCTTAACAACAACCTTCTGACTAAATATCTATCACTAGGTGCAGTCGGAGTGAAAGCCTGGCATATTTTTTATGACTAGGATGGTAGTCACTCAAAAGGATTTAAACTAAATTATAATTTACTTCCTTTTTTAATATATCACCACCTTGTGAGTAGAATGGCTGAAGCGAGTCATAGTACTGAAACATTTCTATTCAACTGAGTAGGCGTACGACTGACAGTAGGTCTATTTAAAAAGGTATGATTAGATATTCTAAGAATTGACGGATGACGTAATATTGCGCATGCGCATTTATTTTTTCGATTAAAAACTGGATAAAGTAACACTGAAAAAAAGTTTGGGCTCGCAAAAGATACACCTTTATTTTGCATGTGCAAAATTTTAGTGGTTAATATTTAGGGATTTAACTACTACAGATCGGACAGACATACAGCTAAACGACAAAGTAAACGTTTTAACAAAAGTTTTTTCTCATGTCTGTGTTTAACTCCGTATTACTTCCGTTTTAATAACTGGAATGCATCACAGCATAAACAAGCATATGAATGATTTTAACCATCAAAATTAGAGTCATGTTCTTAAGAATAATTTTTCATCCTCATCACAATTTGACGACACGCAGACACGTATCCTCAGAAATATAATTAAACTCGTCCACCTACACAAAAGCAGTAATAATGACTTAAATTCACCGGGCAATAAAAATAACAACAAAAATTCTCTGCTACTAGAGAAAATGCAATTGTTTCTAGGTAATTTGACGATGCTGATTCTAAAAATCATGTTGAAAATTACTAGTCACCTCTAGTTTTCGAGTTATGATAGATTTATTAACAATATTCTTATATATTGTGATAATAACTTTTTCTTTAATAACTTTATTTATTCATTGAAAATTGCATTTAATAATGTTCAAAAACAATACATAATAGCAATACCAGTTTAAAGAAGCAATGAGTATAATAATATTATATAATGAAAATACATTCAGACTACGTTCAAAACTTTCATCATGATATTATTTTTTTGTTACAAAATATCTGCTTGACTTGTTGCGCCTTTTGTGTATGTTCTCAGTTTCACGCTGTAAGAACCAACAGTAACCTCCCATCATCGCAGGATTCCATCATCCTTGATATCACTATTCCATTGTAGAAATATTTTGATGGAAGCATCATCATGCTCATCTCTCATCTAGATGATTTGGAAAGAATTATAAATGGGAGTGTAAAAGTGCATCTTTAGTGATATCCTAGACTCCATTTTCCTTTAGTTCTCGAGCATATCATCAATCTCACAATATAGTTTTCCTCTCTGTGATTTCCTAAGAAATTTTGGACAATCAGTTTGAATGATTTCCACGCAGAAAGTTCTTTCTGATTGAGTACTGTTTCAGAATCATCATCCATGAGTATTTTCCGAATCTGTGTCCCGCCAAAGATAACTTTTTTCATTTTTGATTCACTTATTTTTGGAAACTGAAACCATTACCATCTCTGCTTATTCCTTTTAAAAAATTCTTCATGAGTCCCAGTTTAATATGAAGTGGTACAGAAACACATTTTGAGGATTCACTAAAGGTTGATACTCGATATTCTGTTTCCCTGGTATGTAATTCTCTCTCACTGGCCATTCCTTCTTTTGAAGTGATTTTATCATTTC